CATATAGCAACCATGGTACAAACAACTATTCCGGTAACTATGGCACAAATGACCATATAGCAACCATGGTACAAACAACTATTCCGGTAACTATGGCTCAAATGACCATCTAAAGACTGATGTAAATGAACCCATAATAATCATCGATAAAATGTGTCAATGAAATAACTATAATTCGGGTAGTGGTGTAAAACGGCTTACAAAAGCATTTAATTAGTCAGAGTCAGACCAAATGAGCAGTATGGATTTAAAGAAATCGTTTAAAGTATTCATTATTGTAGGATTGATTGTGCAATGTTGTATCAATGAATATCTAATTTATTAATAGTTTAGAATTAATGCGCGAATTGAAGCATAAAATATTGATTAATAAAACTCAAATTTTATGAATAATATAATTCATATTTTTGTACGTACAAATAGCGCCAATATAATTACAAAAAAAATCGTATTCTTGTCTAATCTTATTGAGCGCTATTTATATTTATAAAAGCAAAAAAAAATAAAACAAAAATGACAAAAAAAATTAAATTTGTAAAATGCATTATCTTTACTTAGAGTGAGAATTCTCCGAATTAAGTTTTCTGCTAGCCTAAGATATACTGGTTATATTATCAATTTTGCGTATTACTTTTTTTGTGTAGCTTTTTATGCTATTACATCCGTACATGTATTTTATCAGTCTAGGGCTAAGTGAATCGCTTGACGATGAACGTTACTTGTTTATTATTTGTAAGAAAATACAATAATAACAAGGAAAAAAAAATTATTATATTATTATTTATTTTCGTTCATCATTATTCTCATTTATTATTATATATTCAAATAGCAAATTTGTGTTGACTTATGAAATAAAATGAAATGATACCATTCTTATTCTCAAACTTCTATATTTATATTATTAATAAAATTGAACTCATAATCAGCTATTGCAATAACTAATTAATCAAAGTGTTCGCAATTTGGAAACGCAATAAAAATAAGATCAACGTTATTTTTGTGTTCCAAATTGCGAACACTTTTTTCTTAATTGGCTTAATTTTTGTTCGCAATTTGGAAGCTACGAAAATCATACATATTTATATGTTAAAAATCGATAATTTTGTTTGTTTTTTTTTCTCGTCAGAGAGTGATGAAAAGATGATAATAATTAAGCTATCATCAACATACACACATACATTGAGATAAATTCAATCACAAATATCTCAATGTATGTGTATGGGATACTGCTTAATTGATATACACATGGATTATGTCATATTATCATTGATCATCAATGATAACCTGAACAATGACAACTTACGGACGAGAGAAGAAAAGAAAAAAAGATATTGTCGTGACCTATATTATTTTTTCATTCTTCTCTCGCTTTCATATTCAGTTGTGAGCACGAAACAGACGAGCACACAATATGCAAGTATGTTCATATCATTCACTTCTTTTTTGTTCTGTTTGATAGATCAACTTTGGGATATCAACAAACAGTTTATTTTATTTTAATTCAATTTAACCCTTTGAGGACCGGTGGTCCAAAAATGGACCACCTATTTT